GAGAAATATCTTAAACACTAATCTCTGAAACATATCTTTAATGTTTAAGAATAAATCCTTTGGCCTTGGTCGCTTTAGTTTTCTTTACAAATTATAAAAAAAACATTAGTCAAATATTGTATTTATATAACATAACTTTCCTAGATCCTTTATTTGTGTGTTCTGTACTATTACAAGTAAAGAGCAAATCCCTGTTTGTGGATCAGTGACACAGTATTTAAGCAGTATTTTCTGTCAAGGGTAAAAGGGTAATTATTAGTATTATCATTCTAGAAGGCATACGTTTCCCAGAAAAAAAAGATGGAATGAACCCAAAAGGTCTGTGATGGTACTGTGCCTTGTAAACCACACCTTTACAGTGTTAGAGTATTTCTCCACAGTTTAATGAAATTATAATCAAATGCTTAAGCAGAAGGATGTGCTACTAGATTACTAATATTAGAACTGGGGACCTAGTACTCCACTTTGTAAAGCTCTAGAATGTTATCTTAAGATGGCTTCTATTTCTGTGGCATGATAATGAAATTGTAAATTAAAGGAGAACTATGAGATGAGTGATTTCCACTCACCTCATAGTTCTAGCCGACCTGTGACAATGAGGCTGTCACAGGTCGGCTCAGTAGATCGGGAGGTGAGCGAACACATACCAGGTTCGCTCACCTCTCGATCCTGTCACGGCTCTCTGCCGTGACAGGGGGAGGGCTGGATTCCCCTCTCCCCGCTCCGCTGACTGGCGGAACGGACGAGGGAGGGGGCGAGTACAGCGGGCTCTGCCTCTAGATAGGCAGAGCCAGCTGTCAGTCACGCAGCTGGGCGGATCCCGTCATCTACGTCGGGATCCGCTACGGCGTCTCAGTATACCGCGAGCTATAGATCGCGGTATACTGAGCTTAGGGTAACGGGAGGATGCTGGTTTGTGTCCTCCCGTTACCCTAAGGAGAACTATGGGGAAAAACACTGACCCCATAGTTCTCCTTTAAGAGATCTTACAAGAAACAGAAGTAAGGAGTATGACACTTTCAGTTCTAAATTATGAGCTGCAGGGTGCCTGAAAGCAATTACACCCATTTACTTGTATATTAACTAAAATGATAGTCACATGTAATTTAGAGTTTGCAAATCCAAGCTGGAACATTCACCAAGTGACTATGGAATACCAATTACACTATGGTGAATATGCCAATATAAATAGGAACACAATCTCTCAAAAGGCTGCTTCTTAATTTATGGGTCTATTTATATATTTCTTTACACAAGATTCATACATCTTTCACCCAAGATTCACGCTTTTTTCTAATGTGATTTAATTGGAAAAATGTGTTAATTCTTGATAAAAGTTGTGTGAATCTTGTATAAAAACATTAAAAAATGTAAAGCTTAAAAATGCATTCAAGTACCTTAAAGTGACATTAAACCCCTTAGATTTTTTTAACATAAACCAATACTGTAATGTGTACCTTACTGTAATCCATGGTTGTTTCCCTTCTCTTTGCTGCTCTTCCTTTTAAATCCTCATGTCTTCTCATGCTTGGGGGGAACTTCCCTTTGCAGCTGGTTGCCTCTTCCTGTAGTGCTGGCTCAGGTTTCAAACCAACACACAGACACCATGTATCCCTTTCAGAGACAAGGCAGTCTGCTGCAAAATAGAAGTTCTGTCCAGCATGAGAACAGATACAGATTTAAAAGGAAGAGCAGCAAAGAGAAGGGAAACAACCATGGATTACAGTAAGGCACACATTACAGTATTGTTTTATTTTAAAAAATCTGGGGGTTTAATGTCACTTTAACTATTACCAAAAATGTATCTTATTTGTGTATCACTTGGCTGGCAAATCATCTCTGAATTCATGCTGAGGCTCTTCTTCTTTCTTGGAGGTGGCTATACAAATAAACTTCATTTTTGTTTATAGTTAAGGTACTTGAATGCCTTTTACGATTTAACACTTGAGTTTAGTGTCACTTTAATGTCCTTCATATTACACAACAATAAGGGGTCTATTCACGAAGCTGCCGAAGGATCTAGCCGTAGCTTCAGCCGATCCTTCGGCTAGCTTTTTTTTTTCTTTTTTTTTACGGCAGCAGAACCGCCGGACATTAGAAAACTGTTGGGCGGAGCTAGCTGTCATTGCTACGGTAGCTTCGCACAATCGTTTTCTATTTGCTTTTTTTAAAACTATTTTTCTGTTCTGCTCGGTCCCTCTGAGGGACCGAGCAGAACAGTTGAATGCCGCTCAGTGGCATTCAGCTATTCACTCACTGCTGTTCGGCATCTATAAGAATAGGCCGAACAGCAGCGAGTAGCCTGCCGGAGGTTCGGCCCAGCCGATCCAGCATCGGCTCACTTCACTTGGGGTCGGTTGTTCACTCGGCTGCCCTCGGCAGCTTAGTGAATAGACCCGTAAATGATAGCCACAACAGTCACCATTGATAGAGAAAGCCACCACAAGCTGCACTGAAGACTCCTGTAAAGTATTAATGGTCCTTTAAAACTGTTTCAACAAATTATAATTCGTAACAAATCTTTAGTATAAGTGTGCATTTGATTAAATGGTAAATAATTGATTTTGATAAATGTATACTATGAGTGCTGTATATTCAGCAGTCAGAATTCAATTTTACAAGTGCTTGCATGTTTAGACAAATTTTTACAGCTTTTGTAGAATCACCTGGAGTAATTTACAAAGAGTGGTGAAAAGAAAACTGCAACAACAATGGAGGCACAGAATCAGATTCAAATGTGTTTTGCTCTTTTTTCCTTGCTCCAGTCTTTGTAAACTAGCTCTACCATCTTGCTAACACTCATGCATTGAGATTTCTGTATTTGTTGCGAATGTCCTTACAGTCTTTATGTGTTCACTTATTCTTATGTACTGGTTTAATCAAAGCACTTTTAATATTCCACTGATGTTCACAAAACCGCAGCTAAGAAATGGGAGTCAAAATTATTGTAATTTCAAAAAATGAAAAACACAGGTGGTGAATATGTAAATTCAAATGATAAACACTGCAATGGAAAAAAAGAAGTTTATGTATGTATTCCTATCAAGGCAAACAATTCCTATTCAGGGATTTCAGTGGGCAGCTGTAGAAAGTCTTACAGTGGAGACAAATTATTGGTAAATATCAGTAGGTAGGCTTTTTCAATGTCTGCAGCCTCTTTTTTCATGCAAGCACTGAAAAAATGCATATAATTATAACAGGATATTTTTAAGCAACTGCTCATAATACTGTAGACTGTGTTACATGAAGAACATCAGACACTGATGTCATTAAAAAATATTTAAAAAAATGTGTTAACTGCCTTATTTTACAGGATCCACACCACTTCATCTGTTCCCTACGGCTAGATCCTTCGGCAGCTTTGTGAATAGACCCCATACTTATTCATTATTTATATTTAAAGCTGTTACAAACAATGATAATAAGGTATAACTAAAGGCAGAAGTTTTTTTTTAAATTTGGATAGGGTGACGAAAGGTTAGAACCACTGTCAGGCTTTCACTGATACCTGTGTACCAGTTAGGGAGATTCACTCTGTGTAATTGGTGAGGGTAAATCAAAAATTTTGAGTTGCCACCAGAAAAGGAAAAGAGGGAAAATCTTCCAATGTGAACCCATCACAACTGTCTAGGGGGGGGGGCATTTTCTTACATTGGAAAGATATCCTCTTTCCAGGACAGGAAGTGAAGGCTAATCCCCCTAATAAGACGCTTAACAACATTAAACAGAAGAAGTCAAGGTCTTGCTTTTGTGAAAAACTACACATACACACATGGTCAATTTGGAGTTTCTCCTACAGTCACAGTTTAATAATGTAATTAGGCTTTAGAGCAAATAAATATATAAAAGTGATAACAAAACACTAACTGACAAAACTCACAAAGCAGCCACTGCTCATATTCTTTGTCCTGCAGTCACACAGCCCCATCCCTCTTGTCGATGCAGGCAAAAAAAGCTGCAGCTTGATACTGGTTCTCACAGAAACAATTGCCACACAAATGACTGAAATCACAAGATGGATACTATTTATTCCTAAAGTCAAAACATGCTGTTAAAGTGACATTAAACCCTCAGATTTTTTAACATAAAACAATACTGTAATGTGTGCCTTACTGTAATCCATGGTTGTTTCCATTCTCTTTGCTGCCCTTCCTTTTAAATCTGTATCTGTTCTCATGCTCTGCAGAACTTCTGTTTTGCAGCAGACTGCCTTGTCTCAGGAATGGATACACTGTGTCTGTGTATCGGTTTGTATAGGCTTGTAACCTGAGCCAGCACTACAGGAAGAGGCCGTGAGCTGAAAAGGGAAGTTCTCCCCAAGCACGAGAAGACATGAGGATTTAAAAGGAAGAGCAGCAAAGAGAAGGGAAACAACCATGGATTACAGTAAGGCACACATTGGTTTATGTTAAAAAATCTGAGGGTTTAATGTCACTTTAACAAACACAGGCTCCCCCAACTCCTCTAGAGTTGGAGGAGCCTGTGTTTGTTTACAACATGTTTTGACTTTGGGAATAAACAGTATACAACTTGTGAAACCAGTCGTTTGTGCAGCAATTGTTTCTGTGAGAAACAAAACACTAACTGACTTGCACATAACAGATTTTAAAACCATGTTAAAAGCATAGGTATTAGGATTCAGATAGGTAAATAGCATTGGTTCTTACAAACTTCTGAACGTTTTTTACAGTATATCTCTACATGTTTTCATCAATATTTATCACCTGGTCCATTGGTCCCTTAAAGTTACATGAAAGCATGTAAATACTGTACTTTCACCTTATCATAAATATTTGTTATGGAAAAGATGTATAATGACATAAAACTTGTTTTTATGAACCTGTGTTGTCACTAATTTTATTGTTTGGTGGTGCTAAATAAATTCTGCTAGAATGTACAGTTTTTGAAGGGGCATCACAAATTTAATTTTGCCTTAGCAAAAGCATCCGTAGCTCAGTAAGTTTACATAGAGAGAGGCACAAATGCCACTTTTAACTTACATTAATGTCTTCCAAGTCCAGGTTGTTTAGAATTACATTGTTGCGTTTCCAGATGATAGGAGGTCTCATATTCCCTTGTATGCCACAGATCAAGACAACGCTTTGCCCAACAGTTACTGTGGTATAACTCACTGCCTGGTCTTCTGGAAGGCTCAGCTGAACAATTCCTGTAATGAAATGCATTTCCTTAGAATAAAATCATGTGTTTGTTTAACCGGTAATAACACTAATAACGTTTTATCCTAAACAAACACAGCTTTTTCAAGCAAGTTTAATGAAAGGTCAGCATGACATTTCTATCAAAGCGAATGACAACTATCACCTAGGAGGATAAGAAGCACATCACACTTGATAGGGCTACAGAGACAGAGTTCTTCTAAGCATGACAGGTTTTACCTCCAGGAAGATATATAATTTAAAGGGCAAACAATTCTTTCTGCATAATAACAGTGTGCTCTGGGATAATCAAAAAACTTAAAGATAGATGTTATACTTAATAGATGACATGCATGGTTTTTGAATAAACATTTCATTACATTAAAGTGTATAAAACATATTCAGATCAGAAATCATAAGGCCCCTGTCAATGTGCATTGCCATACCACCAAGCTCAATCTTTAGGCTACTCTGGGAAATTAGGAAATCTTGATCACTGTAATTAATAACTAGAAAGGAATATAAAGACAAGGTTGCATTTGTGTCATTCGGACAGTGGGGTGCAAAAAATTCTGCAAAAAAAGATGTACTCTTAGCATACAATTTCTCAGTAATTAAGTGGCTGTTTATCAATGTACATTGCAAATATACAATTACATTTAGATTTAGATGTTGTACTTGAACATATATTGCTGTGCTTTCTAATAACTGTTCACTGACACAACATAGCATCAATGAGGCTAATTTACTAAAGGAGTATAGACTCCTGAGTACTTAAAAAAAAGTGAATGTTCACTTTGCAAGGACATTTTTGCCTTGTTTAGTGAATGCAGTAAAATTCTTCTGATTTCAACCTGTGTCCTGTTGGGGAAAGAAAGTGAGAGGAAATCTCTCCAAAGAGAAGGAAGTCCGCTCTTAGACAGCTGAAACCAGAACAAGTGTTCCAATTTTAAGATTTCCTCTCTATTATTTTTTTTGACAAAAGCTCAGTATTTTGAATCTTCACTCACCAATGATCACCAAAAGAAAAGCCATTGGGACAAACAGGGAAGTTGAATCTACCTAGAGGGGATCCAGACAACAATAAAACCTAACAAGGGTTAGAACCTTTCCCATGCTATCCAAAACTGGTTTGTCATTATAAATAGTTGAAATAATTATAGTAACTAGAGACCCAATATACATTACAAAAGAAACATAAATGGTCGTGCCCATCATGTTTATGTATAAGAATAAAATATATTGTTCAGAAGTTGTAATTTATGCTTGTTAATTCTTCCTTGATCAAGACTGCTGTTGGAGAAGTCTATTGAAAATAGAATGTGATATGTGTGACCCATTTCTAAAATGTGGCAATGGCTGTTTAGAACATTAGCCTATAAATATGGTGTGTAAGTAGTAGAATATCCCACTGCCACCAATACTTTACTCTACAATTATTATTTTTCCAATTCCACTTATAAAGCCACCCTTTTAATGGTGAAGTATGTTGGGCATAAGCACTCTTATTTTATTCTATTATGTTGCAATCAGTCAGGAACATGGGATCTATCTTTTACAAAAAAATGAAGAAATGTTGACATACAACAATAGTACTAATGGGAAAGAGAAGTAAACGTAAGCAGTAATTGAGTAACAGCAATTAGAGAAATTCAAAATAGCATTTAATTTCTTCATGACAAATGCTAATTTATTTAACATTGAGTATATTGTTTAGTGATAAATGTCAACAGACTAATGAGGTCTGAATAAAAAGAGTATATAAATAGAGACTATAATTAGAGAGATATAAAAGATAAATCAAAGAGAATGAAATAAATTGTTGCTACTGTAAATGTAATCCCTGTCAATGAATTTATCTTATTTGCTCCCTTTTGTCTTGTTTGAATATACCATTGGAAGTGTTGCATTATATCTGTACAAAATTACCCTGTGGTTTTGCCAGAAATCCAGTGATATCCAATGTCCTGTGTAGGGATGGGCCGAGTGTTCGATTTGAACATGAGTTCGAGCGCTCGACAAGCGCCGAACTTTATGGGATGTTCGCGGTCTGTTCGACCGCGTACATTCCATAATACAAAATGCCCACTGAAGCTCTGATTGGGCAAAGTCTTGCACCTGACCACAGGTCAGGTGCAAGACTTTGCCCAATCAGGGCTCAGCGGAGGAGGGGCCTGAAGGTATGGCTCCCAGCCTGCAGACGAAGTGGAGGCAGGGGGGGGGATGTTCGCGGTCTGTTCGACCGCGTACATTCCATAATACAAAATGCCCACTGAAGCTCTGATTGGGCAAAGTCTTGCACCTGACCACAGGTCGGGTGGAAGACTTTGCCCAATCAGGGCTCAGCGGAGGAGGGGCCTGAAGGTATGGCTCCCAGCCTGCAGACGAAGTGGAGGCAGGGGCGGGGCAGAGGAGTCGCGGCCGGACTGAAGGAGAAAAGCCGACAAACCTCCGGGACAGCGAGCAGACGGACAAGGGGACCGAAGGCCGGGAAAGCGAGTGGATGGACCAGGGGACCGGAGGCCGGGACAGCAGTGGAGGTAAGGGGGCCAGTACACTGTATTTATTATATGTACCGGCAACTGTATGGGGGTCGAACATTCGACCCCCATACACTTGCATTGAGTTCGATTTCGTATTCGAACATTTCGGCCATTCGAATGTTCGAATACAAACCGAACAGGGGGGTGTTCGGCTCATCCCTAGTCCTGTGCACTCTACAGTGTTTTCTCAATGCTATCAGGAAGTATGTTACAGAACACAAGGTACAGAACCTCAACTCCTGTGTTATGTAGATGAAGAGAGGGGGAGATGTTCTGTTCTAAAGTTGCCCATAAACTAGTAGATTTAATGAATGAAAGATCTTTATTTGCAAAAGAAAGATAATGCCATCAGACACTTAACACTTGACAAATCTTAACATTCAATTTAGGAATAAATAGAACTTCCCGAACAAAAACCGCATTCACTGTTCTGCTCCGTTCACACCTAGTCAGTAGCATATTAGAATGAATGAAATAAATTGTTGCTACTGTAAATGTAATCCCTGTCAATGAATTTATCTTATTTGCTCCCTTTTGTCCTGTTTGAATATACCCTTGGAAGTGTTGCATTATATCTGTGCAAAATTACCCTGTGGTTTTGCCAGAAATCCAATGATATCCAATGTCCTGTGCACTCTACAGTGTTTTCTCAAGCAATGCTATCAGGAAGTATGTTACAGAACACAAGGCACAGAACCCCAACTCCTATGTTATGTAGATGAAGAGAGGGGGAGATGTTCTGTTCTAAAGTTGCCCATAAACTAGTAGATTTAATGAATGAAAGATCTTTATTTGCAAAAGAAAGATAATGCCATCAGACACTTGACAAATCTTAACATTCAATTTCGGAATGAATGGAACTTCCCGAACAAAAAACGCATTCACTGTTCTGCTCCATTCACACCTAGTCAGTAGCATATTAGCGCATTTTGTCTAGCATTTCATTTAGCCTGTTTCGTGCATTTTTGCACTTGTTAGATGCACGCACATTAAGACATGTGTTTTTGTGAGCAGATTAAAATACATTGCAGTAAATTGACAATGTGCAAAAAACGCATACAGGGATGTGCGAAATGCTTGTGTCGTGTATTTCCAGACGTTCCCATTAAAGTCTATGGGGCCAAACGCGCTGTAATCTGATATAAAGGTCATGTACTTTTTCCAGCATTCGGCATTTTACTGCTTGTGACAAAACTCTCAGGTGTGAAAAGGGGCCATTGAAATTAATGGGATTTCATGTGTTGAGAGTAGGGCTGCGGAAATTAACGATTAATTACCGGATTAATCGTTAACATTTTTGATCGATTAAAATTATTTTGATCAATAATGAAAACACTCACCTCTCCGCCGGCTTCCGGGTCTTCCGTCGGAGATCCGGTGACGTCACCGGGATCCTCCCTCTTCCCCAAGGGGCTCCGTCGGCTAATGAAGGGAAGGGATGAGGAGTCCAGTGACGATGATGTCCGTGACGTCACCTGACTCCTCCCCCTTCCCTTTGTTAGCCGACGGAGCCACTTGGGCCAGTGATCTGTCTATACTTATCGAGTTCTGCGACCACCGGACTTCCGGTTTCGTTACAACTAAGAGGTTTGCCCAACCTCTTAGTTGTAACGAAACCGGAAGTGCTGGCACTCTGCACGAGCGCCAGCCAAGGCATTGACCTATACACATACAGCACAGCAATGAAGTAATAAAATGAACTAGGATCACACTAATCCAGCACATTATTATTCTGAGTTGCCCCACTCAAGAGGCGGCCATATTGAGTAGGGCACGTGAGATTAATAACGTGCTGGATTAGTGTGATCCTAGTTCATATTATTACTTCATTGCTGTGCTGTTTGTGTATAGGCCAATGTAGTTGGATCTGTATGTGCGTTATAATTAATCAAAATTAATTGATTAAAAAAATTTCGATTAATCGAACACGAAAATTTTAATCAGTAAAAGCTCTAGTTGAGAGTTTTGTTGCACTTAACTTTGAGCGTCAAAATGCCCAGGGACTGATAATTTTGTTTGCTCACGAAAAATTTGTCATCCTACTCCTTCAACTTTTTTCATCACTACATTCGAAATTGATTGTCAATTTGAACTTAGCAACTATTAGAAAGTTGAAAGATTGGTCCTCCATTATTATTAGACATGTGCACAACTGAAAAATTCAATTTTTAGAAGAAACAGATAAAAACAAAAAATGTTTTAATTGTTTCATCAAAGGAAACACATTTTAATTTTTTTATGTTGTTTTGGATTCAGAGGCAACGAGCCTCCAAAACCGCACACTGAAACCTGCAGAACAAGTGGTGGCTATATGGACCGGCGGCGTCTTCTGTGCATGTGTGCCGCCATGTGAGTATATCTTGGTATACACCAAGAAGGCAGCGCCCACATGTTCGAGCGCCGCCATCTTGGTATATACTAACGTATACTCCAAAATGAGTACTCCGATATGGCCACCACTCATTCAG